TCCCCCCCCCCCCCCCCGGGGGCCCTCCTTTATTATACATTCATCTCATATTCAACACACTCATATACCAGTATATATGTGTGACAGAGTAACATTTTTTTAAAAAAAATTCATGGAAGATCCTGGTGTCTGTTATGGTTAAAGTTAAAGCCTCGTTTTTCTCTGTCTTACCCTTGACACAAAGACGTGTCAGCATATGAGCAATTCTCATGTTGCTCCTTGAGCGCATTCAGATCTTATAGGATTTGCTTTTCAATGTTAGTTTTTTCAAATATGACTAAAATGGGGGCAATGATGATGATTTAATAATTCATTTCTGTAAGGAAGCAATTCTATTTTGTAAAATGGTTGGAAGCATGTTTTATGAGCTGATGCTGTTGGGAGATTTTTTAGGAAATAAACCAGGTCGTTTGCTGGCTTGCAAGTTTGCAATAAACGACAGAAAATAAAATAAATTTATTGCATATAATGATATGCTGCTTTTGCCGAGCATGAAGTTAAATTTTAAATGGTGTATTCTGAAATTCAATCATATTGGAGTTTCGGGAGCATGAGATGCGTTTGGAATGTTGCATTTTAAATTACTTAATCATTATACTACTTTTAATGAAGCTTTGTGAAGTGTGTGTGAAAATTTGGTGAACTTTAGCTGCTCTGAAGTGAAATCTTAACAGAGTTTTTGGGAGCACGTGTGATGCTTCTTCAACCAGTATGGCAGAGGTGCTTTATGCCCTTTAATACTTCAAGTGTTCAGGAGGTCTGTCCACCCACGCAGCTCCACGAATACAGACAGATAGTAGGCCCATAAGTTAAACACTAAGAATTTCAAGGGACCACTTATCTGGAATAGATAATGCAGGTCTTGAGGACTCCTTGGACACTAAATCGCTAATATTACTTTAAAGAAGGTTTTTAAGTCCTATTTTGTTTGGTTTAAGTCCTATTTTGTTTTGAAGTTTTCTTCTCAATATTTGTTTGCACTCCAAATCTGTGCCTTTAAATCTATTCAGGAATTATCAGCCTCCTCTATTCCTCTTACATACGCTATCTGATTTTATCTCCTCTCTTATATCATTTAAAAAGTTATCAATCTCTCTCCTCCTTGAATGCGACCCTTAAAACACTCTTTGGATCTATTAAAAGATGTAGCATTTGTAAATTCAGCATTTCATTCCTCTCTTGGGAAATCACAGTTCTGGGGTATTTGATTATACTTTTTGCCTATTTGCCTAACTCATTATTTGGAAAAACAGAATGACCTGCAACTGTAATCTTATCATTGAGCAGACCTCCACTTTCTACCACTTGAGCACATTTTGTGTGATTAAGCTTTACATTCATAAGAGTATGCAGTCACAGGTTCAAGTCCTGCCATGCTGTTTTTTCCCCTATTTGTATTGCTCGTCATGGATATTACTTTTTACACTTTGTAAGTGATACACCAAAATAGGAACAAAGTATGTGATCATTTTTTACAGGCACGCACATGAGATGCCTCCAATGCCTTTGAATCCTTCTTTCTGCATTTTTTTTTTTGGGTTGGGGGAGGGGGAGGGACTTGGCTCGTTTACAAGCATGATACGATGGAAGCATTCTCTTCTTCCCCTTTTGTAAGTTCTGTAGTAATATGCTCATGATTGGTTGGCTCTAATAATTGTGATCTGAAATTTTGAATTATACTCTCACTCACGCACACATACACTAGCATACAGATATGGTGTACCCGAATTGTCAGTTGTTGCCCCCGTTCATTATTTCAGTGATAAAGATATGCACTTTCCTGAATATTTCTCTGTCAGTTATAGTTCATATCTCCATGAAATCTTCCTCTGCTCACAAGTTTTCTTGGAGGAACATTGTGGCCTGGTTTTCGAGAGAAATTGGACAGTAATTCCAATCACCATGTACCCTTGTGCAAAGTTTATTCATGCTGTTAGTTGGATGAAATTCTACTGTTTGTGATTAGTATTCTTCACACTTTTGAAGACATGAGTACGAATTTAAGAAAGCTGAAATTTGTCTTCCGCAATCTTGTGGCTACTGAATGACTATTTCCATGTATTTGCTCTTGATTTTGTTTCTTTGCACTCTCATCTAAACATGCCTTCTCGAAAATTTTGATTATACAATGGCTTGCCGTACATTAGTTTAAATATGTTGCATTACTTTTTCTCTTATATTCATATAGTTATGGATGTACCTCTCCCTTTATCTGGCTTGAGCATGCTATAAATTTCTTCTACATTGGTTCCTCGAGGTATTTTCCTCTAGACGCCATTCTGATTTTTAGCTTAGAAAGTCCTATTTTATACTCTTGACGATGGATGCAGCAATATCTCCATGAGTCTCGGCACCAGCATGCTATGAGAAGAGCAAGGGGATCAGGTGGCCGTTTTCTCAACACCAAAAAACTCAACGATAAGGACAAAAATTCTACTGCCAACGAGCTGCCAAAATCTGATGCAATTGCTCCTTTCAACTCAACTGGTTCCACAAGGGTTCTCGACATGCATAAAGAGCACTCTCTCTCAAATGGAAACAGAAATGGCTATGGACTGTCATCGTTCCATTATAAAGAATCGTCTTGGAGCGAACAGGGAAGAGGACATTTTGGTCAGGACAACTGGCGCTCTCAGGTGGAACAATCTCCGCAGAGGGCTGCCCCCAGCAAATGAGAAGTGGCCTCTTTATAGTGGCAGATGGGTCTTTTCGGTATTGCTTCATCGTGCAGATATATAGTGTTCAAAAATGTCCTCTGCACTGGCAAAGGCTGATATGGGACTCATCTGAGCTATATTGGGGATAACTCCTCTGTGGTATTGCTTTTGTCAGGCAATTCATTCTTGGCTTGGTTACTTGTATCTCGCAGCGTAATTCTCTGAAAATAGAAAATTGTACGATCTGATAGTAGAAATTTCCCATGGAACAAATCTCTGAACTTTACCTGTGTGTATCCTTGTGTTTGAGAATCTCTATGAAGTACTTCATTCAGCTGTGCTTAATGCCTATGTCCTTCAAGTTTATTTGTCATGAATAATGGACAACATATAAAAAGATATAAGTTTAAAGGTAATTATCGGTAAATCAATCAAAATTAATTAATAATTTTAGATGTGTATTTATATTGACAGTTAAGCTTGATGATTTTAATTGTCTGATCATAATTAGTACTAAAATATCACGGTACCATTATATTAACTCAAACGCGTTATAACGTGGTGGATCTTGAAGAGAAACATTCACGAGTGACGATTCTCTAAGTCATGGTAACTAATTCACTATAATAAAACAATTTCGACGTCCCATGTTTTGGTATTACGGCTAATTCTCTAAAATCAAAATCAAACTAAATCGAAAGCAATTGAAAATTAACTTCATTTTAGTTTTTGTGAATAGTTAAGAAATGGAACCAAGCAAGCGATCTTGATCTTCTACCACCTCTTGTACCCCATACTTCTCCACAAATTGGAATAAGAATCAATTCTTATTTTATGTCAAGATTATGTATGGATTCAATTTAGTACTAATATTCAAGTTGTGAAGAATTTCTATGATTCTTTTTTATGTAGAAAACGTGAGAATGCAGGATTATAATAGTGGCAAAAGATTTTTCAAGAAATCATTGGTTCTTGCCATAAGAATAATAAACACATCTCACCAAATATAATATTAATAATAATAATTTATTTTTTACACTCTGTCACATGTTAATACACTATTGGACAGGTTAAACTTTTGACAATATTTCTCCCCAATCAACACTTGACATCATTTGTAATGTCAACAATAATGTCAACAAAAGAGTGTACAAATGACATTTTTCTATATTAACAAAAGAGTGTAACAAAAATCAATCCCACAATGGATTCGAACCAATGCACAAAACTACTAATTCAACACGACCACTAAGTTAACTACTATTTGACGTTTGACATGGTGCAACAACAAATGCTAAAGTATGAGCCACTCTTTTACTATGATAAGGAATTACACGACTCAAAGTTGATATACAACATTAACAAAATTTATCAAACATATTTGGTGGTCCATTTAAGAGCATGAGAACTGTTTATAAATAATTTAAATTTTTAATAAATAAAAATAAGTGAAAAATAGATAGTACTTATGGACCCTTGAAATGTGTAGCTAAAAATTGATTTTTCGTATTTACATACAATTTATAACATGAGCCAAATATAGACACTCATGTTTTGTATGCTATGCATTTTGTTATGATTGACCCCAACCCTTAAAATAATAATAAATAATTAAATGAATTTTGTCAGTGTTGAAAATAAAAGTCTCATGTTTTACTGGCTAAGCCCACTTTACATTAGTTTGGGGCAATATGGTACAGAATCTAAAAGTTAAATTAATTTTCAATAAGCCGTTGTTCGATATATATCAAAATTTAATTTTAATTCGAAATCAAAGTCAATAATTAATTTTATCAATTTTAAATTATTCAAAAAACTTTAATCACATATTTCATCTACTTTTATGTGATGATTTCCCTACCATTAAGTGAAGGGAAAGAGATATGTAGGTGAGTCGGGAGACACGACAATATGTAGAAAATCTAAGGAGACTCGGAAGTCACTGGTGACAAATGAATAGGTCAGAACAACGGAAATATTTACCTCTTTAGTTTGTTTTTAATTCATATTAATTTTTTATTTTTTTTTAAAAAGTATAAGCAAAGTTGAAATTCAATAAATAAAAACAATATGCAGTTCAGACTGAAGAGAAGTCATTATGGCAGTAACTTAGAGCTTGGAGAACGTATAAATTACAAACAATACAATTTTACTTTGATATTCACGGACAGTAACCTCTATTTATATATTATTGTAACACAATAACAAAAATCCGTTGTAGTCTAGTTGGTTAGGATACTCGGCTCTCACCCGAGAGACCCGGGTTCAAGTCCCGGCAACGGAATCTTTCTTTTTAATTCTTTTTCCAATTACAACTATTATTATTCATTCAGCAAACTGTCACAATTTAGTTCGTATGAAGCTTGTACGTCTGGTCAAGAAGGCCAGAGAATCTATTTAGGGTAACAAAACTAACATCCAATTTCAAAATTTAAATGCACTTCAAAAAACCTGAAACCTGTACTTAAGTTCATAAATTTAGTCACATCCTCGTATTTAATCCAAATCCCATAAGATCTTATTCAGAATAATGTTCCAAGATTTGTTACACATTCTCAAAAAATTCGTTGTAGAAAAAAAGGGCCAAAATATGGAAAACGACGTTCCATTGTCAATTAGCTTTCAACACAATACAACAGAATTTATCGAAAAAGGAGACGACATATTAGAAACTATGAAACTACAATCATTCCATTGTCAATAAGCTTTAGTAAAGAATTTAAGTGGTCTTTGAGTGAAAGTATACAAATAAATCAAGAGTCTTCTAATGAATATTCCGTTCCACAGGCATGATTTGCTTGTCTCTATTTGTAACCACTGGTATGACTACTAGGCGTACAATAGCTCTTCTTCTCTAACTCTATACGGTTGAGGTAACAAGTTTTTTGAACTAGCGAACATGTCTGTGCGACCAAGGAGTGCCTCAGTAACAGGTGAATCCAACACAGAATCAGGAATAGTGACTAGTGTCTCCTCGAAAAAGGATTTGATCGTCTGCAAAATTTAAGAACCACGTGAACAAAATTCGTCAAGAGTCCATCCTCGTTCCCTCTACCAGCTCCCACCCCCAAAGCTTCAAAAAATAAATGTCAAGTACACAGACGATACAGCACTCAATTTAAAAAACAATACTTTTTACTTCTTTAATACTATTTAATACTATCAAATCCTCTAGTGAACCTCATATGCAATATTAGACTTTAGAATCTTCGCCTTACTAAACAGCAAAAACATGCCACTGATGGGCAGCTAAAAGAAGAGGCGGAGAAAGAACAGAAGAAACAATAACCATATACAGATAAATCGCTAGCAGCAACTCTATCTGATACAAGAACATCAATCAAATAAATAATTTTGGGATCTTTTACCAGCGATTGGCTAATCACATTAACTTTTTTCACTTTTCTAGCCCTAATGCATTGAATACTACTACAGATAGCTCTTCAATACTTTACAAAAAATTTTACTTAAGAATAATCTGACATGTACATGTACATGTCCAGGAAATGCATCTAGGCTATTGTCTTAATTGCAAAGCTAGTCTCGGAAGTGTTTATATCCAGTTTAAATTATAAATTGATATAAATGAATAGTACTTGTGGATCCCACGAAATGTGTGGATAAAATATGGTTTAGCTGTTTATAAACATTAGCCAAACATAGGCTCAATTGTATTGATTGCACATAATTCTTTGGTGGACATATGAAAATATGAAAAGAAGATTGATGTTGCAATAAACAAAAATTCTTTCCTACTAACGAAATTTAAATTTGCAGTCTACAAGACTTAGCTATTCTCCATTGTCACCAATTTAGAATTGGTAACCAATCATTCAATAACCATGCCAATAACAGAAATCAAAGCAAGAATTATAATATGAAAGCTGTTCTGTCATTTCTACTAATGTTCACCCCATTATTTACTGAAGCAGAATAAGAAATCAGATAACCAAATGGACATACGCTAACAAACAATGTACATTAGGATCAAATTCAAGAGTATTTATGAAAGCCTATTCTATCCAGGCACAGGTTTACTTCACAAAATTTGTAGGACAAACAGTTCTGAACACGATAAATTATAGCTTTCAAAGTGACGATGACTTACTGTGCAGTGCATGAAAGCAGCATCAGCTTTACGCTTCCATCGACCATTTCCAGGCTCAGCGTGAAAAAGACCAAGCAAAGGCTGTGGCGTATTTCAGGAATTTCATGTTAGCAGCACTTGACGAGATAAAAGTATCTTAATGATGAAAGAAAATGCATGTGAAAATATAATTTTTTCACGTGGAGGAAGAACACAAATTTATATATGCATACTCCAAATGACAAATGGACAGAAGAAGAGTAGATGCTGACGAGCAAAGAGGAAAGATGACAATCTTACAATTGACATGTAACATAACATTGCTAACAACTCCTACCATATAATCAGTACCTTAATAAAACTAAGGAAAACCCGAAATTTAAAAGAACGTCTCAGATTGCATGCATACCCTTATAATCTCCCGAACATTTGGTCTTTGTCCATATTTTCCCAGTACTGAATCGCCATATACCTGATACTTTTCGAGGACCTAAAAAAAGAATTACTAGACAGAGTTCACTATAAAGGCATTTAATGCAACATTAAAAGAAAATCAGATTGATTGAGAAACCTGGCGCCGTGTTAGATTGCAGGGAGGTGCACCATATATTGCACTGTCAACATTTCCTAAAAGATTCCATGGACTGCCAAAAAATAAATTGACCTTGAGTCAACTTCTCTGAGGAAGTAAGGAAGAAACCATAAAACTTGCGAGTTTTAGATTGGTATACAATGTTTAGAAAGATTCTGAGTTTAAATGAGTTTAGACAGACTCTAAAACCAAAAATACACCATAGATATTCTTAGATGGACAGTTGTACCACAAATATAACCTCAGTTCCTCCACAAGGACAGTAACAGTCACCAGAGCTTTACTTTATTCTGGACATGGAAACGTCATGTTTATATCTGAACCAGAAGCACACTTTTTCATCTTTATCTAAATACAAAAGAAACAATAATTTCCCTACAACAATTCTTTGCTGCAACACCATTTACTAATTATATTTCCTCTCGTCATAGATAAATCAAATATCTTTGCTGTTCACTTATTTAGCTCTAGATTGTTATTTAGGTCGCACAACTCAATTGTCTATCAATCCCAATTAGTGTGCAATAACCTTTCTAAACTTCCATAACTACCATTCAAGTATCCAGGTGACTGTTGAGAGCATTATATTAGAAATTTAGAACTTTCTTCACGGGTCATTCATTTACAGGGAGCAAAAAGAAGCCAAAAATATGTGTACTGAGAGGAATGCCTTCTTATTTCTGTAATCAAATATATTTTTGTACCAAAAATCCATTATTAGATTATACAACTAGCTTGACTTAAATATTTACTTCTTCTATCCAACACGGTCACAGGAAGCCACAGCTTCTTTGTAGTTAAAGTACATAACCAAATTGTGCTGGGAGCTCAAGAATGAGTATCTTAAAGAGCCACGATGAACATCAAAACAAAGAGAATCACGGTCACAAATCTGTAATTCACAAAAGCCTATCATAATCACAGCTGTGGATGCCTGTGTTGAGCATTCATTCATAACGTTGAAGTACATTACTGCCTTTAGTAAAACTAAAGTTTACAAAAACAAAGTTCAAATAAGGATAAAACATACATACAGCTCAAAGATCAGCTCAAAAAAGTATCATATAACGAAAGTCAGGATTTATAAGATGTCAAACTAAGCATTCAACTACATGATTACAGAGACAACAAAATCTCTATTCATTAGAAAGAGCTGTAAGGCAGTTATATAAAAATAACTCAAGAAAATAGTGGAAGTACAAAAATAAGTTATGTAAGTGCAGACAGTTCATACTTATGGTATGCAGAACGTCCAACCATTACTCCATGGGCTCCTTCCTTTATTGCTGCATTCACCTACATTAAAATGTCAATAGAGAGTGGGAAACAAAGACACTACAGACCTTTATTTATACAAATTTAAGCTAGATAAAAGCATTATGATCTGAATTTACTCATGGTATAATCTTCTATATCTGCATAAGGTACCAACTTAGTTCTGAGAAATGTACAAATCATCTCCATAGTTAGATAATGCCCAGAATCCATAGAAATGGGCCATTATGTGTCCTCTGTTATCTTTTTAAAAAATCCTGATGAGTATAAAATTTCCGAGTGAATTTCCTTTAGTGGTTGGTTATAATTCATCTTTCCTTTTTTAGTTGGTTTTTCAATGACTCCTTTACTTCTGTTGGTTCTTTTGTGTGGATAGGTGGCTGGATTCTTCTCCAAATCATTAACCCTTCCTGAACATCCAAATAAAGAACAGAGGAACTATTTTGAAAAGAAAAGGTCTTACGAGCCTTACTGGTCATGGGATCTAGAATTAGGGGACTAGAACATTGGATTTCAGTCTGGATTTATATAAATATTTGGTGATAGGAGAAAAACAGCCTTTTTGACGTTTTAACTTGAAGGATCACAGCTGATTGAATAATCAGAGGGACAAAGTAATAACACAACCTCAGTGTGACTCATTTAAAAACAAATCTGCAAGTTAAACTAATTATTCATCACTCTACAATGTCATCAGGTAATAACACTTCACATAAAAAAATGAACTTTTTCAAAAGAGTGTCATCTTCTTTAGTCAACGAAGGTAGAAAAAAAATCCCTCAACAAGCTAATGATCTATGCATATAATTTCAATTGTAGCTTTGGGAATCAACTATGGAACCTGACACAAAAAACCTCCTTCAACACTAAAATAAAGGAGCTAAAAGTTATGAAATAGACATCAATATCAGAAAAAGGAATGAAGGAAAATGATTAAAGGTGATAGAAGGAAGAAAAAATAGAAAAGTCACCAGATCAGTGCTGTTACAGTATAAACTATTGTTTACATATAACATGACAGCTATCACAGTATTTTAACACCTACTTTAAAACTTTGAACATTTGACAATGGGTATGAACTTAACACTTACCTCATCAACGGTGTTTATGCCTCCATTAATAGTAAACCGCAGATCAGGAAAATCACGCACTAGAGCATAGTAGTATTCATATCTGCAATAGGAATTACAACTACATGGAGGAACAATCGTAATAAACCAATTCTCATTCAAACACAAGGAGACACAAGATAATATGCTGATTACAGGATGCAGAGTAAAAGTGGCTGAATAGAAATGCAACAGTAACTTCTGTAGATTAGATAGATAATAAGTGCCTGATACCAACTAAATACATACTTCAAGGGAGGAATTGTTCTATTTTCGGCTGGACTAATTCCATTAAGTAATGCCTTTCGCGAGTGTATGATGAAATGCTTAGTTGGTGATTGAGACGAAACTTTATATATGAAATCACCTGCAGAGAAAGAAAATGGGACCAATAAATCATGATAATACCAATTTTATTCAACCACGTTTTCTACATTAATCGTCAAAAAAAGAAGCAGAATTGACACACAATCATTGATGAAATAATGTTAATTACAAATTTACGGAAGCCATTCATATGGACATGATGACGTAGGTGCAGACAAACCATTGGTTAGAGTAGTTAGTAATCACTGTAAATGTGAATGCATACCCATACCCCAGCATCACTGTAATACAACTAGATTATCAAATGACTAGTTGCATGGTATCCAAAAAATACAAAACGAGAAAAGGAAAAATGTTACAACATCTACAACGCGTAACAATATTATGTTAAAAGTAAGACGGCAATGTAAGTTGGTCATGCTTATAATTGAACCTTGATTAGCTTACATTTGGGGTGATGGGGAAAAAGGGGTAAAAGAGCCTCACTTTACTCTTTGGGAAACTCTCAAATGGTAATTATGGTTTGGTGGATCTTAGACCTAAACAAATTTGACTATACTAAACATCACAGGTCTATGGCTACAGAAAATTCAATTCCATTTCCAGGAACCACTTATAAGCGCTACTGATCACCACAATCAGAGTAATCAAAGGGGGTAATAGGCAACTGATCAACTGAATATTTTAAGGATCTAGCTAATTACAAGTAAAACAAATTTTAAGTCTAGTTGAGTGTCTTACAACAATTTACTAGGTCTCAAAAGTTAGAAATGAAGATGTCAAAATTTCCTTCTGTACCATGTTATTTCTCAAGGAAACATGAGTGTTTTAACCAATCCTGAATGGCTAGATAAAAGATCTTATCTAACGAACCTTCTTTTTGGCCTTTTTAAAGAAAGTAGTGGAAGAACTTACATAGCTCATTGTATGAATCATGATCATCAACACCAATTCGACATTTGACACTAACAGGAACATCTGTATTTGCCGCAATCACTGACATGGCCTCAGCTACAAACTTTCCTTGTAAAAGACAATATAACAATGTCAAAACACATTCACATACAGCATTCTCTCAACCAGGTCCAGAGCCCTTACACACCTTTGGATCAAGCATAAGACGCACCCCAAAACACCCATGTCCAGCAACCTTCGGACTAGGACATCCACAGCTGTAATCAAAATGTCTTAGGTTCAGTTGTGAGAGAGAGAGAGAGAGAGAGAGAGTGTGAGAGGAATCCAATATTTAAAACTACAGAAACAAACTTGAAATTGATCTCGTCATATCCATAAGGATTTGCAAGTTGAGTTGCTTTAGCAATGTTTTCCAAATTATTTCCCCCAATTTGAAGAACTATAGGATGTTGCTCCGGACCAAATTCCAAGAATCTATCCTGATATGCAAAGAAATTGTAGTAAAGTCAGATGTGAAGCGGACTCCTATATAAGCAAGATGCACCACTCTCAAGTTAAAGAGCATTGAAGTATTTGTACCGTAAATGTTCCAACAAACACACATCAAATAATAAGAAACTGTGTATAAGCTGAAAATCCAGCAAAATTCCGACATCCAAGTGAGATTGGACATAATTTTTTTCTGGAAAACAGATTATGCTACATCATCCTTTAAATAACATTAGCATTGTAAAAAAAAGTGATAATTCCATTGGTATTTATGCTCGTGTCTGCGTGCTATATTTTTTCTTTTTGTTAGCAGATCAAAGCTTTCAAAAAATAAACATTTCTGCCTGCTAACTGAATAAATTCAAGATACAAACTCCACATGAATATTATTACCAAATTCGCCTTCTGATAAACAATTGTCTCTGCAGCAATCATTTCGGTGTATAGCCATGCATGTTTCGAGATGAGCCGAGCCATGGTCCTATAATGATTATCTGTCCACTCCATCATGGGTGCAACACTGTATTTAAAAGTGCAGTAGTTATAAGGGGTCAAAAATCAACTAATCCACCTACTGAAAATAAACTAACCCAAAGCTCAAGAAACACACCTGAACCAAGGGGGAGGATAGTGAGCAACAACCATAATAGATTCTGTGTGATAAAGGTACTTCTGATGGTAGGAATGCAGTTTCCTTGATTTTGAAGTACTTCCACAAAATAAGTTCGTCAATGATCTGCCATGGGGTTTTAGGATAACGGAATGAGTAGGAGTTAAAGAAGCAAGCAGAGTATGTCCAGCAGATATCATCATCCCTGTAATTGGACGGTAGCCTGCTCTTTTATGTACCTATCCAATGGATAGAAACTAAAATCACACAAGATTGTGATTTTCGACATGTAAAGAGACTGAAAGAAAGGGTAAAGATGACAGCTATTCTAATAGGCACCTACAAACTATTGGAAGAAACTATTCAAGAGCAGATGATCATGGATTCAAGGCACATAAACATGGCCAAGTATACTCAGAGGAAAGTTTTAGCTCATGGGAAGAATTTGAATCAGATATGAATTCATGCAAAAGCCAAGACAGAATTTTTATGCTATCTGAACGAATGGCGTAGAATTTTGAATATTCCATGAGATGTTCAACATTATACCCCATTCCGTAAGCCCCATTCCAACAAACCTGAGTCACTGCCCTAATTCTGCATCAAACCACCACTATCAAAATCCCCCAGCGGAAGCCGTTTACACTTATGGTATGTTTATCAAGTTCAGCTGGATACCATCTTATTTGTTATGCTGGACACCAAACATACCAAGTTTGTAAAACACTTAAAATTAAAAATTAAAAATAAAAAACTCAGACCCGATTCAGAATTTAATCAATCCTATGCACAACAATTTCTCTGCATATTTGACCAATAAACACCCTGCAAAAGGAGGGGAGGGCGGCTGGCTAGATCAACCTCATTTAACAACAATTTCAAGTGCCCATTACAACTTAGATCTTTTAACAGCATCATACCAATTTCCCAACAATAGTTACCCACATTATATTTCTCAACTTATGTCTCCTTGTCGTACAGAAGTTAATTACTAATTCTATTTCTTTATTCTCCTTGACAAAAAA